TGAGGCTTTGAACTCATGTCTCAAGGGGAACCGCGGTATTTAAGTTGTTGATGTGTTTAGGGTGCGGTAAAAGCTTAATACCAGATGGACTTTCCTTTGTCGTATCACTCATGTCAGAGCGGTCGTGGTCGTCATTTAGCATCATTGCTGTGGGCAGATGTTATGCGCCTCACGAGTTTTTCGCCACTCCTCCCGGTTTATGGTGAGCCTGGTCCTCCTCCTTGCGTCGTATTCCTCATTGCTGAGGGTCGTGACCACCCTTTTGTATCACCTTCGCACGCACGATTTTTTCACGCATGCACGGTGAGCCTGGTACACTCATGCAAACAGCCGCCAACTGCCGACTTGATCTGGTCGGTCCATCGCATGGGCACCCTTCCACGCGGTCTGGTGCCTTCTATTTTGCCCTGAACGACAAGAAATGACTCCATGCTCTATGGTCCTCGGCGGGAAGATGATGTACCAGATGGACTTAGAGTTAGTTTATATACGCAGATCTTAAATTTGGTTCACGAAGCCTAAAATTAAGCACGATTTCTGAAGTCTACTTAAAATAAGGAATAGACACGACATTCGTACTTTTGAGTGATTAAGAGTAATTTTGAGATCAACAGCGATATCGCAGTAATCAAACGAAATAATTTCGAGTAGCAATACAAGTCTCTAATTGAAGTGAAAGCTCGAGGGAGCTTTTGAATTTATAAAATTCACAGTTCAACGGAGCTTTGAGCGAAATTAACGCTATTTCAACTAATTAACAAGCCAACGAAGTGTAGATTAAGTGCGAGCTAACGTTCATTCAATTTTGAATATTCACTTTAAAAATTTCCCTTAAACGAAATTTGTAATTATTAGCATTAATCCTGGATGGAACCCGGAGTGCGAATAAAGTTAGTGTTTTTCATTTATACATCTGACACCCAAAAGTATGCATATCTGTTTTTTATTCTACAAGTAAAATAATAGAACGATATACAAAATTTAATGGTGTATATTTCATTTGAGGACACATATTTAATGTATCGCACACAAGCATTGAATTCGCCCAACGACCATAAGTCCTAATTTACATAGATTCACTGACTGGCAATAGTAGTAGTAATAGTAGTGGCGCAATGTAAATGTTTTCCCATTTCAGTTGGACGTTGTTTACTACCTGGATCCAGTTCAATGTCAGGATTAATTGTGTGAGTCCCATTTCGCCAGCGTCACCCGCATTTCTCAAGTGAACGCCAAGACCATGTCTAGCATAACCGTACTTGTTGAACTCTGCAAAGATTTCGACGTGCTACCTAAGTTAAACATCAGCCCGCTGAGTTTCTCTCCGGATCTTCTCAGCGGGTTGCAATTCCGATCCAGTAGTAGATTAATTCGCGAAGTAGTTACTTTTGAGTTGTTCGCTCTACTTTGGAGGCGCTCGGGTAACTGTTGGCAAATCCCACTCCTCCTGGCTCGCCCAACTGTCCTGGTGAAACTGGAAAGGCCTCTGGCCCACCAGTAATCACTCAATCATGTGTAGCAACTGTTGCTGGTACACAACTACTGGTAAAAGTTCTTAGTTCCTACTGATAAATTCGACTATGTAGCCTAGAGTGGCATTACCACATCTCACTTACACAATGTCATGTACAGACAAGACAAACAGGTTGGTCAGCGGTAAACACTGTAGTACTACAGCGTATTCATTTATTAATCGCCAATTCGCATATTTGGCAGTAACGTCTAAGATAATTGTAAGCTCGGATTGGTAGATACTACCAGTCTCAATTAATTCTGCCGCGAAGTAATTTTGAGTTCAGTTCTGAACGGTAGAGTGGTAATAGTACAATGGTATAGTTATTTTCGAGTCATCACTGAAGAAAAGCGGCGGCATCCAGTCATTGTTCATCTTTGGCGTTTGGAAACCATTTAATGTCAGATGAGTCGTGATCTCGTGTGTAAATCGTCTACAGCAGCAAAATAATCAAATTAGTGATACTTGATTTAAGGTGTTATTAATATGTGTTCTAAATCTTTAATATAGTATTGAATGATACCAAAAAACAAACGTGGAAAGAAATACACGTAAAGAAAAAACCTTTATTATGTATTTGAAACTCTTTAGTTTTTAAAAAGGATTTTTCTTCATTGTCATTCGGTGTCATGATGCCTGTCGTTAAAAAAAAAGAGAGTTCAGTTTTTGTATAGTTTATTAATACTGTTTACTGTTTAATTTTTAATATTAATTTTAAAAGAGATTAAGGTCTTTAAATGTTGTTTTGTTATTATTTCACAGAAAACCCAATTAAGTCTTTTATTGTTTATTCATTCTGAAATACTCCATATAGGTATATATTTGCTAGTCTTACTCGTTTGTGAGGCAACAGGATTATAAGCCTAACAGTCAATTTAGGGTTACATTATTTATTTATGAGGAAGCTTTTCTCGTTGCCTACCTCTGACACCCGTCATATTTTTTCAACGCGGCTTAACACGCGAATATTAAAACATTCTTGAATTATTCTCGTTGGAAATTTTGTATTGGGTCTGAAATGTTACTGCCAGGGCTGTCACTCCATTAATAATAGTGAATACAGATTTTCATTGTTGTTTATATTGACTTGAGCTCACGGCTACTAATGCTAACTCGCTTCCATACTCTGTGTTTATCAAAATGTGAATTGCGTCAAACGCCTTTGTCCAAATCTCAATTGTATTTTAGAACAGCTGTGCCTCCTTCTAACTAGAATGTAAGGCTATTAAAATACTTTAAGTGGGTACAAAAATTATAACTCCATAAAATTAATTAAGGAGTATCCTATCTATCCCTCTGCAGTAGACTATCTACTATTTCCTATTCTCTTACTAACATAACTTCTCTTCTTGTTAATAATTATCAGCACAGATTATATGAGCCCACACGAGTTGGCAACATAACCCAGGCCATTTCTACGTTAAACAATAATGTATTCCACTTTGAATTCTGTATTATTATTTGGATGCAAATGGGGATATTCATTTCAGAGCTGCACAAACTACTATTGAAACAGAATTATAAAAAGAACGACCATTCCGCGTCCATGGATCCGTTAAATGGCTGCCAGCAAAAGTCATTACGCCTCACAAAAGGTGTTGAAAAAAAACTGTCGCTTTTAACTCGATTTTCATCCTATCGAAGAGTCAAATGTACGTAATCGTATTGCATAGTGATCGAGGAATAAGTAATACGTACAGTTCACTATATAAAGCGGGTTCTATGGAATGGAAAGATTTATTTTGAATTATTTATCACGAATAGTTTAATAGCGATTTTAGAGTTTAAGGAAACAAATACCAGACAATTTGGCCCGATGAGGTTTTTTTTGTGTCTACGAAAAGCATTTAGTCGAATTTCTTCTAATTTACTGTTTCAAAGACAATTAGTCAATTATACACATTGTAGCTCATCAGATATCTGTGTAAGATATGTCCTAATTTGGTCACATTACCAGGGTGTTCGTGTCAATTATAGACCCTAGAAACCGCAAGGGTAAAGGAACACAATCAAAGGATCACAAAGAACCTCAGAATTAGATAAATAAGTTCAAAGACAGACTGTACGCTGATAGAGCATAGATGTAACACATTACAGCTGATGATGATTCATGGGGAATTTCACTTAAATTGGCTATCCAATAACAGTGGCGTAAAACTGGCCAGATGCTAACGCTGTACAGAAGTCGCTACCTTCAACAATGCTAGGTTCTACAAAATAAAATCGTTTACTGTTCAAAGAAGTATGAAGAAGGAAAAATGTAGAAGGAAAATTTAAATAATACTATTATCAGAGTTTGACTAACGTTATTAATATTACATTCAAAGCGCATTGATGATGAGAGTACCGTAATGGGTGAGACCTGAGAACTTTATTTAGGTAATGCGGTAGAAATAGGAAGGGGAGAATCAACAGAAATCATTCTCATATGTTGTCTTTATGAATAAGTATAAATATAAGGATAAGTATGCGCTCCAAACTAGCGATAAAATAAAGTTTCTCGATAGATCCAAACGCACCAAACGGCGTAAGTTAGAGTGATGGGTTCAAGGAAGTTGAATGTTTAGTGAATGTGATTATATTGAAGATTAAACTATTGCAGCTTAACCTTTCAGCTTTAGTTTTAAAAGTTGCTCAATATAAAATAATGTAACCTAAATTCAGATCATAACTAAATATTTAGCGAAGTTGTTGTCGCTGTGAAACACAATTAGTTTGCTGTGTCGCTAAGCCGAGATTGTTTGTTGCTTTTTAGGCTTTATCTTGATTAGTGACAATGTTAATCTTCGATGAAAATGTTATAATAAGTTTCTTAGGCTGTTTTAAAATAATATTTTGAGAAGGATTAATCTTTTAATTAAAAATATGATAAATATTGAATATTGAATAAATATTGATGTTTTACATAAACTAGTCGAGAAAATGAAGAGTGAGATTTTTTTTATTTTACGGTTGATTTTAAACAGGCTGTATTTTGAAGATGGAAAATGGAGGAATGAATTTGAAATTTATAACGTGAGCAGTTAAAAAACCTTTCGAAGGTCACGTACAAATTTTGGAATTTGTTTTTAGTCCCTTAATTTTTTCCGCTAGTGGATTAAAATGCTTTCTTAATTTAGTTTGTATTATATAAAATGGCGTAGGAAAAACAATCGTACACATAATATCAACAATTTATATCTAGTCAGAAAAACATAAATGTTCTGAACAAGCGTTGAGAACATTTATAAGGGTAGGGTATTTCGAAGTGTCAGGTAAGATATAACAATTTTTTGCTAAAAGCTTTACAGCAAAACTGCGATTAATCATAGCAAAACCGGCCCATATTGGATATGTTGAGTCGAATTTAGTTGAATCCACACACTACCAGAATACGATAGCTATTCCATAAGCTATACTAGCTACTATAGCTAGCTATACCATACTAGCTACTTTACAGTATATTCGAAGTTGGCGATAGATAAACGTGTTTTAGAGATTCACTTACCCCTTTGCCTATCGTAGGCATTGATACACTCGGTGGTCTGAAATTGGCTGATTAGGGCGGTTTTCCCAACGCCGGGCGCTCCGATCATGGCCACTCGATGACAGGCTACCGGCCGTCGTTCTTCGGATTCTGGTGCTGCTTGAGCTGGCGAGGATGGAGCTAAGCTGCCAGACCGTGAGCGACGGCGCCGGAATGAATCACCACGATTCACGATTCCTGTAAAAGAGAGAGATTGTAGTTTGTTGTTTGGTCTTTACTTTGTCATATGATTTGTCATATCTCTGAACTTTGATTTGATTTACGTATATCTACTTGGTTTTTTATTTCACATATGGGTAGATGAGCTCATGGCCCACCTGGTGTTGGAGCCGCAAAGTAAATGACGCCACCCACCTTGAGACATGAGTTCTAAGTTTTAACTTTTAACAGTACAACGGCTGCCCCAACCCCCTCCCCCTCTTTTTAAACCGAAACGTATTTGTGCTTCATGGTAGAAACAGGCAGGGCGTTGGTGCGGACACGTGCGGACTCACAAAACGTTCTACCACCAATCAACTGAAAATTAAATGAATAAAATTGGTTTGCCCCTTTTCTGATTCAATTGTAACTTTGATCTCTGATCTTAAGGTGATTATTATCTTAAGGCGGTATTCATGTTGTAGTTAGTGACTGGATTTCGGTAGTTGCTCGTCTGCCCACTTAAGGGTACTTTTAGTTTTAAGCCGATTCTAAAAGCCGTAGATCTGGCTCAATATCGTGTGCACCAGACAAAAGGCCTATTGTACTAATAGGTAGAAGAGCTTATGGCCCATTTCGAGCTTATTGGTTACCGGACCCTATACATATAGATATCACAACTCAAGCCGAAGTCGAAGCCTGAAATGTTTTGTACAATGGCTATCCCATTTTTGAGCTATCGTACTTGAGCTGTTTTAATGTATCTGACCTGTTAATTTATTTGGCCATTTGACCATTATGAAAGAAAAGGTCAAGAACATAAACAGACAGATAATGAATGAGTTCTTTTATGAGAACTTTCACCCACATCGAAGTGGTCGTAAACACAAAGATACCAAGAGGTTTGTGTTTGTCGTTAAATTGGAAAAATCCTTAATTTAGTTGATATATGCACAGATAAATCTGTTTTTATTTACGAAGAGTCGATTTCAGCGAAAAGTGATACATTTATAACTATTGTAACCCGGTAGTCAAAATTTGACTTTATTTAATTTAAATTGTAAGTTTGAACATTAATAAGGGTCTATAGTCAAAGACTGTCATAGACCTCTATCTATAAGTAATAACAAATTTCGCCAAGGCTACACTATAGGTAAATAATACATATATATTGTAGACAAACAATATTAATCCCTTCTCAATTTGGCCACAGACTTTAACAATAAACAAAAGAGTTTATGTGTGTGTCTGTGTCAAATACGTGGTAGGGTGTGTAATGTTCTTTTTATTGATTTTAAGGAAGTTTTATGCACAATTAAAAAAAGTATTAGCATTCTTCACTCCTTCTCCATATAAACTATAAGTGTGGAAAATTTCATACTCCTCCGTCCGCGCAATTTTCGTAAAAAGGGATACAAAGTTTTTGCTTCATGCATTGATATAATAAACATATGTAGTTATAATTGTCAATATTTTTGTACTAACAGCAGGCAAATAATATGAAACAGTTAAATCACCTATTTCTGTTGTAGCTTGAATGATTGAACGTTGAATGAATGTGAGAAATCACTATAGAAAACCGCCATTTGTTTTTGATTCGCCTACACTTCACGCTATTTTGGATTTCATTAAAGTCCGATTAGCTGAAGCGGATTTCTTTTCATTTGTATTCCCAAAGAATGTAAACAATTTTACCTGACTGTTTAATTTAATTGTTTTTCAACTGATCGCGTGTTCGGTTTTTGGCAAGCTCTGTAATCTACACGGTTTGATGACGTAATTAATATGACGTAATTTGATTCGATTTAATTGAATGAGTGGAGAAGATTCTAATAACTCTAATTTAATATGGTGTATGTCTTATTATTATTTTTTTATTGTCATTGTAGGCAGACGAGCTTACGGCCCACCTGATGGTGACTGGTTACCGTTGCTCATGGACTTCAGCAATGCCAGAACAAGACGCTGCCTACCGTTTAATTACTCTCCACAAGCCTCGTTTGAAAGATTAATATCATCGTGGCTTAACGGTGAAAGAATCTCGTGTTCTATAATCGCACCGAGTGATGCGACCATGGCCCAATCCTGTGGATAGGTTCCAACTAAATACATATCTGATACGATGTCTTCGCGAATAATCCAAGGTGAAGTTTTAAGTTAATGGTGGTGGGACTTCTTGTGAGTCCGCGCGGGTAGGTACCACCACCCTGCTTATTTCAGCCGTGAAGCAGTAACGCGTTTCGGTTTGAAGGGTGGGGCAGCCATTGTAACTAAACTTGAGACCTTAGAACTACTTATATCTCAAGGTGGGTGGCGCATTTACGTTGTAGATGTCTATGGGCTCCGGTAACCACTTAACACCAACAGCAAGGACTCAGCCAGGAGGGAAAGTTAATAAGTCTTGTCGAACGACATCCAGGTTGAGTATTGATTAATTTATTGTCATATTTGGTATATATAGCCAATTGTATTGTTCATGGCTGGTTCACCCTTCAGATCGGAAGGAATTACTTCACGGTAGAAAGCAGGGTAGGTTACGTCCACGGTCAGTAGATATTTAAAAAATTTTTTTTACGGATTTTATTAGAAAAATAATGATAATTTGGGTTCAGATCCATCTAGAAGCTAAAGCTGCAACGATAAATGTGTTTTAAACAAACAACTGTCATTTTCATCCTGATTTTAAATAAATGGCACAGAACACATTAAAAGTTTAATGATGAAAGTTTGAGTAATATAGAAGACATATGAATAATATTAGACGTTTGTTACCATTCGGAACTCGGACTGTTATCAGCTTGTAAATATTGTGGAGAATGTTTATTGTTCCATATTTTTACGAGACGATAAAGCCGAGACGTGAGACGATAATATCGTGAACCCTCAAACAACACACACACAGTCGACAAAGGTTGTCATTAAACTTTTATGTTCTCAAGACTCGTTCTTTGCACTTACGAATTGTTTGAAAGATGACACTTGATTAAATGTGTCTGCGAGAAACCAAAGTTAATTATTACGTGAAGCTTATCTATATATTAATACGTGAAGCAAAAACTTTGTATCCTTTTTAAAGAAAATTGCGCGGACGGAGGAGTATGAAATTTTGCACACTTATAGAGAATATAGAGAAGAAGTGCACAATGCTAATTTTTTTTTAAATAATGCATAAAAGATACATTAAACCAATAAAGAAAACATTACACACACTGCATACCATGTATTTGACGCACACACGTATGCATACTATTTATTTTCAAACTTTTGTTCTTGACGCCTGTCGTCAAATTGAGAATAGATTAAATATTGTTTTTCTTTGTTAATATTTTTTATAGTGTAGTCTTGGCAAATTTGTGATTATAGAAGTATAAAATACAATCATAATAGTGTACAAACTTACAGTTCCAATTAATTATCATCATCATCATCATCATCATCAACAGCCCACAGTCGTCCACTGCTGGACATAGGCCTCTCCCAGTCCACACCACTGATTATTAATTATAGTCGAATTTAATTTTACGTCTTAAATTATACTACAACAAACACATTAACTAGAGTTGATTCTTTTTATCTTCTAAGTAACTCCGACGCCGATTACAGTAAGGTTAATAAACAATTTAATAAATAAAAAATCCTACCTAATCTTTGGTTGTCTAAGTGGCTATTTCAACTTCGCGCGGACTGGTAGGTGACAGCAAGGACAGTGCTTCGCTGAATCTACTACCGGATCGGAATCGCCACCCACTGAGAATATCCGACGAAATTCAACATTTCCGGAATATTGCAGGCACTCCTTGGAATTACGGCGTCACGAAAAATAGGTCCTTCTGCACAGTGAACTCATTAACCGGTCTTTTCAATTCATTGAATTGGACTAAATTCAATTCACTTCGTTCGGACACTGGCCGCGGTAACTACTTCAAATTAACTGTGGAGTTATATTATTATTGAACGACTCGTTGGTGGAGTAGTTAGCGGCCCTGACTGTTGCGCCTAGGGTCGTGGGTTCGATTCCCACATCGGGCAAACATTGTGTGATGAACAGGTTTATTTGCTCCTTATCTCGGAGCTTATTATCTATATATGTATATAAGTGGAAAGATCGGTACTTTTTGGTCAATTCACACTGGCACACTAATTTTATTTTAAAATAAGAAAAGATGAATTGCAGTCATTAATTAATCGACATGACGATGTTACGAATACTTTTTTTTTTTTTTTTTATAAAAAGATTTTGTTAACAAACTAAATATCCACTAGTTTTCGCCGTACCATCTCACATAATATATTTAAACGTATATAAGGATATTTGTTAGTATCTGGTATAATACAGGGAATTATTAAATTAGGGCCGGATGACTACGCGTGATTTGTTCCCAGTTGTTATTATTATTATTATTGAAGGTAAACTAACTTTATTAAAAACGACACTAAGAATATTGAGTCTGCATTAAAACCGAGCTTCCCGAATAACGTAGTTTGAAGCCCTAAAGGCCAGAATTAGCACGCACGTAAACACAGTTGTGAGTCGGTAAGCGTCTTGTGTTTTACGTCATCCCGTATGGGCTGCACGACGCGCTGTATAAATGAGTCAACGAATTGACGATACATTAGATTCATTTTGGTGCTTTGAAAATTCGATATTCCGTTTGGTATAGATTCGTTAGACGTTGGGTTTTAAAAAGTTTTAAGTTTTACAATAGATTTTCTATTAAGCTGGAAAATCAAGTTTATCTCAAATTTTTAAGTGTTACCTTAAAGCGTCGGATATTAAGAATGAACTAGTGGTTCCGCAGTAGTCGAAATTCGACCATAATTAATTAAAATTATACGTTTGAACATTACTATGGTTCTATTGTCAAAGACTATTTATTATACTTCTATAATCACAGATTTCGCCAAGACTACACTATAAAAAAATATTAACAAAGACAAACAATATTTAATCTTTCTCAATTTGACCATAGACTTTATGCAATAAGAAAAGTTTGACAATAAACAAGAATAGTATTTTTTTTTTTTTATTGCTTATATGT